TTATTCAATTTTAACACAATTATTACTTATTGTATTTTTCAACACATGTTTACACGGCGTGCTCACATTTTACATTTATTGTGAGTAATGCCTTTAAAAAACACTTTACAATTTTATTACTGCCCAAGACACCACTGCCACTTGTTGCTTGTTTTATTTGTTTACCTTTTGTGCGCTTCCTCACTTGTTGTCCGTACAGCCTCTTGTCTACACCTTGTAACCTTGAAATTTAGTTCAGCAATTTTCGGAGTGTTGCTCTCGGTTATTGCGTCAATTTTGTATAATCTTCGCCTTTTTACACGCTTTTTTTTGCTAATGTATAAACGCGAATGTCGTTATGTCCACTTGTTATGGGCCAACGCAAAATATATTTGTAAGTGTATTTGCAAACAGTAAATTGAATTTGAGTATCACTCAATTGAGAGTTATAATTTATTTCCTGTAATTAAATATATTCAAAAACCTAACAAATATACAGATTTGAGTTTTACAAAATAATCTACACTTATTTATATATAACACCTATGTACAGAAAATAAATATTTGCTTATATAAAGAGCATGTTAATGAACTCTATTTTAATTAAAAGTCATTAAGATGGTGTAATTTTGTGTGACCACAGAAACTGGAATGTTCCTGGTGAAATAAGACTACTTTGATCGAACTTTGAATCTTTTTCAGGGGTCAGAGATGCCAGATTATTTTACTGAAAAATTGGGACTATGAATTGGGGCTTTTTAAAAAGGGGGCGTGAGGCCTACAAACGTACCGACTTTTAGCTATCTTTGAATGTATTTATAATTCTTCTGTAGGTGTGTTTGTGAGTGAAATCCTCCTAAATGGTTGTAGGGATTTTAACGAAATTTTTTATGTGTGTTTGAGTGGGTGTCTGGATGGTTTAGTTTCACAATTTATTCCGCCAGGTGGCGCTGTAGTTGAGTTATTACTAAAAATCTTATTTATGGTCCGATTTGGCTAATATTTTAAATATGTATTGGTATTAGTAAGAGCAATCATATTTCGAAAACGTGCTGCCAAGTGGCGCAGGAGTCGAGTTATTACTAAAAGTAGCCAAGTGAGAAAAAGTGCCGTGAAGGTCAGATTAAATCGACCTGTTGCACCGTTGAGTATATCGAACTCTCCTGTGTTAGGATTGGCCCAATGGATGTGATTTTCCAATACTATTAAAGTATTTCGTCTGAAATAAGTATATGTATATTGCATTTCTGTAGAACAATGATACGCACCCATTTTGAAACTGCCACCAATTATACTGTAAAGCTTCTAGGACAGATGCACTATAGATCCGGGTCATTGAAAAAAAAATCTTCAAATTTATTTCCTTGTATATTGTGTTGTGTTGTGTTGTGCTATGAAATGCTGCACAGTTGGAGAATTTCAAGAACTTCTTCACGGATATAACACTTCCCTTAGGTTATTTAAAGCGGAAAATGACCACCAAACCATAATCTTAGTAGATGAATGTGCCAATGAAAATCGTAAATGTGAATTGTGGTGAAAATGTTAGACCAAAATGTTTCCATAAAAAAAAATTATTGGGCGGGACGAAGTTCGCCGGGTCTGCTAGTGAAAAGGTAAAAAAAACGGCAGATACAAAGGTAGAGAAACAATAGAGAGAAATGTATAGACAAAGAAAGAAAAAAAGATAAAATTAATGAACTATGTACATGTTATGTTGTGTTTTATTGTATTGTAATGTGGGGTGTTGTGTTGTGTTGAGTTGCGTTGTATCAGAAGATGCACATTCTGCTCCTGCATATAGTTGATCCTGTTCCCGTGTCCCTTGTCGGCTTAGCGCCCTGCATTGGTCTTTCTTTATTATTTCTGCTCAGAAAAGGATAACTCGGTTTAATGTGGCGATTGAATTTTCCAGTGGATCCACATTGTAGCTTATTTTGCTTTGGCATTGTTTGCAGGTGGCACGCTTTCCATCCCACTCCTTAAAATACTCCCTAGCATTGCTTAGTTTCCCGGCCATCTGAGAAATAGAAACAATTTACATTTCGAGAATCTGCTATCAGGGATTTTGTCGAAACATAAGTACTTTCAGATTGTTATGAAATATGGCACTGTAAATGACTATTGCCCGGTTGCACCAATGAATTTTAAGTTTATCAGCCAGTTATAATTTAAAATTACACTATTTTGTTCGAAAAATTTTTCATTTTAAATGTGAACAGTCTGATAAATTTTAAAATTGATTGGTGAAACTGGGCATATGTCTCATATGTATATTTAAAAGTAAAAAAAAAAATTTTTAAGTACACTATATGTTAGAACATGTCTGAGACTTAACAGTCATCACTGATGTTAATGTTGGCCTTATGTATGGCTTGTTAAAAGAATTTACTATTCGATTGTAAAGTTAAAATTAACCCCAATGAGTACTTTTTATGAAAATCACTGATAGCAGGTTTTGAACATAAACCCGCAGCTGTTACATTCATTTATTAAAAAAAAAATTACCTGTCGTTTAGAACAACCAACGATTTTTTTGAACTAGCTTAATAACAATTGATTTCGTAAGGCGCAGCTTTATGTGCAGGAGGAGGGGAAGGCAATATAATTCAATCTCTTAAAACCAAACTCCATAATTTTTTTGCTGAATGCATTACATATTTTTTCCATACAAAAAGAAAACTTCGAATACACATAATTTTTATGAAAAAAATGCGTTAAAAAAATTGCCGAAAATCAACGCAATTCTTAAGCAACTTAAAACTTACACTTTATTATACCAGAATTGAGTGGGCTACACAACTGCATACCCAAAACAATGCTGGAAAATCTGATTAAGGTGAAAGGTGAAAATTTAGATGCAACTTTGCAATTTAAAAAATGAGCATCTAAAAGATCTATTAGTCAACTTTTGACAATAAATTTCAAATCTTCGGTCGAAAATCTTCAAGAAAAGTCCATAAAACCAAAAATAAAATTTTTTGTTGGAGCTAGTCAAAGCAAAGTATTATTTTTTTTTGAAGGTTCATTTTCCAACCAAATTTTTTTTGAGGGGTTTATACATATAATGATTATATAACGGCATATTTTTCCCTTGAAAGCCATTATAACGGCTTTTGAACCCATATCTTTTTCTTATACCTATAGAGCTTAACGATTTTGTCCATCCACACTCCAAAATCGTACACTGTGCGTCACCTTTCATACGTACATATATGGGCCATTCTTACCGTTGCATTTTTTCCACTCGTTTATTCTTTAACGAAAATTTGACAAGTATTTACAGCTGACACAGGGTAGCAGTTTAATTTTTGAGGATGCACGTGGTAGTGATTTTTTATTTTAAAAATTACAATCCGTATTTTCAAATTCATTTCGGCCAAATCATATTCAATAAAAGGACTAAAAAAAATTTTCCCCAAAACATTTTTCCAAGATGGAGTCTCAAAGGACTGAGAAATTATGAATTTTAGAAATTACACCAAAAGGCAAAAACACAAATTAACGACTCAAGCAAAACAAAATTCTCAGTCGGCATGATAAAGCGGCTTCGTCAAAGGAGCGTTTTGCTACTTTTCGATCATACTTATATTTCTACTTAATAACGAAACTTAAATGATTTTAGATCTTTAAAACTTTCGGCGGAATGCCAGAAAAGTCTATTGCAGCTTCTGTGACAACAACAAAAGCATTCGAGTTTCAAAGGCATAATATTCACAGGGCTTAACAGCAATTGCTCAGAACTTTTAATTGTCAATGTACTAAATTGAATATTGTCAAGAGGATGACTATCTAAGCAGCATCCTACGCTTTGTCCCATTAAAGTTAATTATAAATTTAAATTATAATCTTCCATTGAAGATAGATTCTAGTTACAATCAGATTTAAACGTAACGTTAATTAAATGCATCTAAATCTTAGATATTTCAAAAAAGTGCTTCTCTAGAAAGGTAGTTCATCTGGAATATTTTTGTTGACGTAAGCATAATTGTGGCGTAGTGGTTAGCACTGCGCACTACCATTCCTCAGGGCCTAGTTTCCGACCAACATCTAAATAAAAGGCTCCAATTGTTTTTCTGAAAAAAAAACAGCTTCTCATAAAAAACAATCGCCGTTCGAAGTCGGCGTACAACTATAGGTCCCTTCCCTTTGTGTGACAAAATCAAAGGCACCACAAATCGGAGGAGAAGCTCGGCTAAACACTAACATATGTGATGGCGCCAATCTACCATTATTATTTAAAGCCAAAGGTGGACTTGTAAGGCGATGGGTGAAGAATTCACCGACTCATATACTACTAACGCCGTTTTCACCACTTCAGTGAGACCAATACTGGAATACGGTTGCATTGTTTGGATTTCACTTTGTGAGTCTTATTCAACCACTTAGGCTAGCCGTTTAATGCTTATTAATGTCCCAAGAGTAGGGAAAACTATTATGTATTTATTAATGAAATTACAATCAGTTTTATATCTGGAGACTTACATAACTAATTTCTATCTTTCTTGGCTCGTCACAGCAAACAAATATCCGTACTAATAGTAATACCTCCCTAATTAATTTTATTACTAAGCTAAATGTTAAACCCTCGGTATATCAATTGCAGAAACACTCCCGTCCTATTCTCAGGCTAGCCCTCTAAGGCCGAGGTCATGCATTGAGCTGCTGAGCGATGATCGGCTTTTATTTCTGAGCCTGCCGCTGAGAAAAGTCGCTCATTGTGTGGCCACTTCAATAGTATATTATATGTCTTAATTTAAGCCGATCTCCGCTTTGCCGCTCATTGCGTGGAGTCGACTTTATAAAACAATGAAAGTTTTTTTGAGCGATACTCTAGGACGTTTTTTTTTTAATCTGGACGATATTACTCCGAAAAAAAATATAATCGATGAAATTAACTAATAAAAAGGAATGCTTCATACAAACATACGTATTTATATACTTATGCCCTTCTGTATGCTTATTAGCTATTTGATTTAGTCAATTAATGCTTAATAATTTTTCTTCTACCATAATTGCAGGAAAACATCCAAACGAATTAACGAACTACGAAACAACTAACCTACAACCACCTCAAAATACCGCACCACCTTATCATCAGCTTCCCGCTGATCTTTCAGAAGAGAGCATACGCAAAGAAGCCGCCTTGGTACTCGCTCAAGCTGAGCGTCACAAAAGTAAAGCCGAAAACGGCGACAATATTCCCGCATTTAAGGTTCGTACTAAGCGCAGTAGCGATTCGAATCCAAACAAATTCCATTCACTACCAACTCGCAAGAAGAAAGCTCCGGCAAAACCACTTTCGCGCAGTGTCAGTGACGCTGCTGCTAAAAAAAGCGCTAAACGTCCTTCTATTTTTAATATCTTCAGTCGGCGCAGTGACACGAACGTCAATCAGGTAGAACGCGATCCACGCTTTGAAGACAGCGGTGGCAGGCGCCTAGTTCGAAGTAAGAGTGATGTTGGCTCGTACAATAAGGCGGAGCGTAAACTCAAAAAATCTTTAAAGGATTCCAAACCAGCGGTTACTTCTGGTAATCTTCAAGCTTTAAATGGTTCGAGCAAGCAACAGCTGATTAATACGCCACTTAGTCCAATTATTGAAAACGTACAAAAGGAAGACTACTTTGCGGAGCAATTCAACCGGGAACGTCGTAAATCTGAGGCTATAACCGAGCGTGAAAAACATGAGAGTGGTTTGAATGAATTGCTCCATCGTAGTCGTACGCAAGCTGCTGAAGACGGCAATATCTTAGGAAAGGGGCCCATATCAAACGGGATACGTGATAAAATTCTCACATTACAATCCAAATCACAAGAGAACATGCATAGCTCACAGTTGCCGGCACAAAAATTACCGCTTACCAAGGGCGTCACTGTCAATGGGCTGGCAAAGCGTTTGTCAATGGAACGCTTTTCTCCACCACCACCACTGTCTGGTCCGGCTTTTTCATACATACGCCCGAATGAGGGAATCATGTATGCACAGTTGGATCACAATGAAGAACAAAACCAACGTCGCCAGTCACTACATTCACCCATCCGAGACCTGCGTACGCCGCAGCGAGAGTACCGTTCACCAGCTCGTGATATTAGGGATCTACGTTCACCGGAACGCGATCTCCTTATGTCTGATATGGTGCTGGGTCGACAGTCAGTTGATCGAACTGACTTTTCTGCTAGTCAAAACATCTTAAAAAATGCCAGCTATAACACCAACTCCCATAACCGTCGAATTGGAAATAGCAATGGCAGTCGCATTATAATTGAACCATCACCACGCGCGCATGATGCGTATGGATCGCAAGCCGCCGCGGTCGGGCCCACTACCATACGCATCACCAATTCGCACTCACCTTCCCCATGGCAGCAACTTAGTCCTCGTAACTTAAGCGATGAGGATGAGGGATTAGGTACGGAAACCCGGAAATA